TCTCGTAAATTCTTACATATTTGTATATCTTGGATTAAATCTGTTTCTCTGGTAAGCACCAACTGATACAGATTTTGGAACCAGGAGTGGAGCTGTTGCTGTGACTATACCTGACTATGTGATTCAGGAGCTTTTGGAACTGGTTTGTGGGAAGAGTTTGGAAAGGTTTGGAAATGCCAGCCAAAGAAGCAGCCCTGGAATGCTTTAAGTAGTACTTGATGGGAGATTCTGGTCAGAGTTCAGAAGACCATAATGCTGATAGAAATGCAGCTGGTAAAGACCATGCTAAGGACGTTTCAGTTAGGAACAAGGACTGCATTGGCTGTAGGATGCCAGACCATGTTGTTATACTTTAGCAGAAAAATTGTCTACATTTTGCTTATGCCCACAGAGTTCGCAGGAGATTGAGATTAAAGTCTGTGGACTAATGAATCTTACAGAAGAAATTTCAAGGGCCAGGGATGTAGCTCAGTAGTGCTGCACCTCCCTTGCAGGTGCAAGGTCCTGAGTTCAATCCCTGGTACTGGTACCAAGAAAAAAAGGAAGAAATTTCGACAGTTCAATGTTGAAGCAGTGGCATAGCTACTGTTGGGTGCTTTTAGCCTGATCTATGTTAAGAATCGAGAGCAAAGAGCCCAACAGAATGAATTAAAAAGTTTTGAGTTTAGCCAGAAAGATGGCTCTAATAAAGTTATGGCCTACAAATATGGAACAGATGAGAAATTGGTTGCTGAAAAGACTAGAAAGAAAAAGCCAAATTGAGAAGAGGACAATAGAAAAGATAGCCTCAGGACATCACAAGAACCAGCAGAACCCCACCTTTTGTGGCCTTGAAATTGTAAAGGTGAAGGACTTTGCTTTGAGAAGAGAGCCCTAGAGCACCATGTTCCAGAATGGCAGTGGCCTTAGGAAGTTGTTCTTTGGCATTTGGTTCATAGGCACTGGATCCCTACAGCCAAGAGAGAAGGAAAACTGGCTCCTGCTCTTGCTGGCGGCAGACTCTGATGTCATCCACATGGTGGTGGCTTTAGGTGCATGTAGAATGGAAGAGTTGTGGAGTCAGGAAGGCTTCCACCCAGATTTTAGAAGAAGGCCTGGGAAGTTAGGCAGTCTGCTTCTGAGAGAGCAGTATGTGAAGCTGTGAGTGTGAAGCCAAAGGTGCATTGTGGACCCCAGAAAGTTGGAGAAGCCAGGAATGTGGATCGTCCAAGGAAAGCTTCAAGGAATGAGGAAAATTGGCCAAAAAGAGTAACTGTGAGAGCTGTAACCACACACCATACCATAGCAGCAGAGCCACCCAAGCCCTTTGGAATTCATATCTTGCCACAGCCTGCCTTGGATGCTGGACGTGGAACTACAAGATTGAATGTTTGCCCTGCTGGATTTTGGATTTGCTTTGGTCCCATTCTTTTGTATCTTTCTATTTGTACTTTTTGGAATGGTAATGTTTATCCTGTGCCATTGTATGTTGGAAGTGTTTAACTTTCTTTTCATTTGTACAGGCACTCACAGCTAAGATTTTGCCTTAAATCTCAGAGGTGACTTTGGACTTGGACTTTTCAGCAATGCTGAAACTGTTAGGACCTTGGCAACTCTTCGAGATGGACTAAATACCTTTTGCATAAAGGGATGTGCATGAGTCTTTGGGGAAGCCAAGGGTAGAATGTTACGGCTTTTATCTAGATGTTCCCCTAAAGCCTCATGCAGTCATAGGTGGGCTTTTCACAGGTGGCTGGTTCTAGGATGTGTGATGCTGGGATTAAGTGTGCAATGCTGAGATGACCTTGGATGGGATATAATGGACAGAAAGAGGGCTACTGCTGCTGCCTCACTACTTCACTGCTTTTATTCCCTTCTGCCCATTCTGAATTTTTTCTCCTCTGTGATGCCTCTTTGCTATGGCCCTCTGCCTTAGAGCCAGCTGACTGTGGATTGAAACCTCTACAAACTGTGAACCAAAATAAACCTTTTGTTCCTTAACTGTGGATATTGGGTAGTTTGTCTTAGCAACAAGAAAAATAAGACAGCAGTATGCGTTTAGAGAGACTTAATTTCTTTCTTAGTCTTATTGTCTTTATTTTTCATTTCATGAGCCTCTGGAAACTGGTTTTAATTTATTTTCATTTTGCACTTTTGTTTGCTTTCTACTTTTTTCCCCCTATATTTTTTATTCTGTCAGGGAACCCTTAACATTTTTTAAGGAACAACTAGAATTATTTCACATTACTTGCTTAGCCACATTTTGAAGTATATGAGTGTGTGATTGCTGCATGCCTCAGATAGAAATAGAGACTGAGCACTCCTTGTAGAATATCAGAACAGTCATTTCTTTTAGAGATTAAATCACTGTTTCCCTTTGAACATTAGTCTTTTGTATTTATGGTGACGTTTGTTTCTAGACCTTATGTACATCCTGCTTATGCACAAGTTTCAGAAGTGAGCCCCAGTTTAGATTCTGTATATGGTTCCAACAACCTTTGGCAGACCCCAAGATAGCACATCAACTTCTGCATTGTAATTGCTCACAATATTGAGCCTATCTCTCAGCCTCCTTGGCTCCTTTGCTTGCTCCTTGTTATTCTGTGTACACTGTGTTAATACCATGCCAGAAACATTTCAGGTGATTTATTTGTGGCACAATTTCTTGCTTTGGGAGTGAGTGAGATTTCCTCTGCCCAAATGAAGAAAAAGACAAATTCAAAACATTTAAAAGTAGATAAATAATATCCCTCAGCTATACAGAGTTGTTTAAACTGAGGTAGCATCTTAATGCCAAGTAGAAATATTTATGGAACTTTTGTTTTGAAGTTTTTGTTTTGTTTTGTATTCTGGAGACTCTACCCATTCTTTTTTATTAAAAAAAAAAAAATCTGGCTCCTAGTTTCCTCACTCATCTACCCACCTACCACTTTCACAGTTTGGTCATATCTTTGTAACCCTTTGAACTAACTCACATTTTATACTTTAATGCATATATCAGCTCTTATCCTAAGTGCTATCATCTATGGAATAATAGCTTTGACCTGTAAGTTATAATCCACTTATGAGTTTATAAATAATACTGCTAAAAGGGACTAAACTAAAAACAGTTTTAAATCTTGAGATTTAATTTTTTAAAACATTAATTTTCTATTGATTTTTTCAACATAATAATATACCCTTTGAGCTAGCTTCCTTCCTTCCTTCCTCCCTCTCCCTCTCCCTCTCCCTCTCCCTGTCCCTCTCCCTCTCCCTCTCTCTCTCTCTCTTTCTTTTCTTTTCTTTCTTTCTTTCTTTCTTTCTTTCTTTCTTTCTTTCTTTCTTTTCTTTTCTTTTCTTTTCTTTTCTTTTCTTTCTTCAATTGGAGATTGAACCCAAGGCCTTCACAGTAAGCTACATCCCCAGCCTTTTAAAAAAACTTTAAAATTTTGAGATAGGATCTTGCTAAGTTGCTAAGTTGACCAGGCTGGGCTCAAACTTGTGATCTCTCTGTCTCCACCTTCCAAAGTGCTGGGATTACAAGTGTGTGTCACCACACCCAGCCTCAGGTTTTCTGTAAGTGAACTTTACTAGAAGTACATTTTGATTTATCCCACTAACATGACAAAAACTTGTTAGAAATAATTCCAATGTAAGACTGCTTTTTAAAAAATATTTTAAATTTAATAAAGTATGAAATATATATCTTCCATGACTCCTCTAATGAATGCAAACAAAATTTCACCATCCTTACAAAAGCTTAAGTTGTATATTTAAAGGAAATGAGATATATATATATATATATATATATATATATATATATATATGGGTTGGACATCTACACTTTACCTACATGATCCTTTTTTGGAATGGGAAGTTTGTTTTTATGTACTATACTGTAATAAGGCACTGACATATTTCAAAGTCATGTTTTTGGTTAAGTAAAACAGTCATTTAGTGAAATGATCTTTTTTTAAAGAATAATTTGGAAATATGTTGATTTCCAGTAGTTTTCATCACAAGGAGTTCTGAACATGCAAGACTTGAACCTTCTCATGTAGTAGTTCTCAGACTGGAAAAATCCTTCCTTCTTGTGGCTTGGGTTAGCGTCCAGCAGTATTTTTAGAAACACTCCTAACTCAGTAGCTATGTAAGTGCTAAGGAAGATGGAGTCACAGGCCCGACTGGGCTTGCTTCCCACAGGGAGGGCTGGAGTTGAGCAGGAAGGAAGGCTGGCTAAGCAGTGCCTGGTGTGCAGCTATGTCTGTCAGGGTAGGCAGCCGGCAACACAATGTCTTCCTTGTACAGAGTAACTCCCTCAGTGAGTGCTCAGTTATGTGAGGAAAAAGTGTTTGGGTAAGTGAAGAAGCGGGTGTTTCAGAGATTCTTCTCGTGTTTTTGTGGCATTTGTATTTCAGGGAGTGTACTATTTGTTGTTGCAAAGTACTGGCTTTGTTTCCAATGGCATTTTCAACTTTTTGAAACAGCTTACCACAGGCAGATTGAAACGTCTTATTTTCTAAAAATGTGAGCTTAATTTAAAAAAGGATTTGTTTGCAATGAAAAGTTATTTGTGCTTCTTGGAATCAGAGAAAATTAATTGTATTCATTTTTAGGGATGAATTCTCTACTAGACTTAAAATCTAGTTTTTCCTGTTGTTTTCATTCTGAAATCATAACCAACTTATGGTGATGATGAATACCACTTGAAACTGATTGCTGGTATTTTAAATGTATGATGTTGATTTCAGGGATAATTTACTTGTTTTAAAACACTACAGTTGTTAATTGTTCACTTTAGTGACTATGATATGAAAGTGTTGTAATTTACTTCAGTTTAAATAATAGAAAGTTCCATTTTCACTAAAAACTGGTTATTTTTCTTCTGGAAATCTTCATTTTGTGATTAGCTGGTATAAATAGGTATTGTTTTTAGAGTATTACTTTTATATTTTCAGCAGCATTTAGTTACCAAGCCATAAGTAGTTAACTTTTATAGAGAGTGTACATGTTTATAGTCTTTTGCTTTTGATTCTGTCCAGTAGATTGTGACAATATGAACCGCTTCGACCGATCAGACAGAAATGTGCGGCAGTCTCAGGAAGGATTTTGGAAAAGGCCACCGCAGAGGTGGAGTGGACAAGAACATTACCATCTCAGCCATCCTGACCACTATCATCACCATGGAAAAAGTGACCTGAGCAGGTGACATGCTGTTTTTTGTCCTTTGATTAATTTGAATAATAATTCTCCCCAAACTGATTTTGCCTGGTTTTTGAGGCACTTTTTGCTCAAACATTCAAGGTACATGTGGCACTAGTTAGAATAATATCTAATTCTTTCTTCTTGGCTCAAATCTATTTTCATTAGCTTTATCATAAATATTGTATTTCTGTCTACTATTTGTTTTTAAGTTCTCATTTGGGAATGATTAAATGTTGACTTTGTTAAAGTTTAGAATTTTATTAATAATAATATGCAGAGTTAGTGCCAAATGATTTGTCGTCTTTGGCATATAATAAAAAATCTGAATTTTAAAATTCCACAAGTGCTATTAGAAACACAAGAAGATACTATGCAGTACTAGAAGTGTTTTCTTTTTTGAATTGTAATCTTTAATGTCATCAGAATTTATGTGCTCTATAGTCATTCAAACAATGTATGGTACAGATTAACTTTGCAAATTTAGATAATTTAACCCCCTTTACGTCATTTTGCCATTTGTACAAGATACTTAATAATGTCTTTCAGTATTTGAGGATGTAGAATAAGAACGCCTCAGTGTCTGGTTTACAGTAGGCACTCAATGGCATCTATTTTTTTTTTTTAATCCTTTTCTCATCTCATTCCACAAGATATTTGACGTCATTTTGGAGCATATTTACAATACAAATAATAAAATTAGGATAAAGAAGTAATGGAAAGAAAATGTATTGATGAGTATATTCCCTAAAGTAGGAAATAAAATTGTTTCTAAGATTCTTTGTGGTAAAAGCAAGAACAAAATTTGATCCCTTACAAGATGAACAGTGTGTATATGTTTCTTCTATAGTTACTTGCTTTTATGAGACCAAAATCTGAGTGGTTTCTTGAATGAATTCTTAGAAACATGATGGACAGGTCCCAGCTTTTCAAAGTAGCAGTAATAATTTTCTTAACTGTTTCTTAGCTGTACAGGCTGCAAAGACTGTAGTACAGTTGAGAAAAGCCAATTCAATGGATCATGAAACAATGATTTCTAACTAAAAATTCTTCTAGAGATATAATTCAATGAAAGGATGTAACTGAAAAGATCTGGTAGAATGCACAGAGCACATATCATTTCAAACATTATTTTGGCTGTTCTGTTTGTTATATCTAGGGTTTTGAAAAGGAATAGGCTTCAGAGAGATGGTATTGTCAGGAAAGAACATGATATAAGGACAGTTTTCATTGCAAATAATGAAAGTTATGCTTTCCTAATCTTATATAGTAATCTAGGAAGTACATTTGAGGCCAATTTATAAAACTTTAGAAGCCTAATTAACATGAATCATTGATTATTCTTAAAATTTGTCCACTTAAAAATATTCATTGAGAATCTATATGTTGGACACTTTCTCACGCTGTGAATTGGCAATAGCTTCTTGGAATATTGTGTTGAAGACAATAAAAATTCTGCAGTGAATGAGCTCTATAGGTATCTTTGTATTTATCAGTCAGGATAAGATTCATGTGCTTGTGCCAGCACATTCACAGATGAATAGCATATACTTCTTGCTGCTTGGATGCTTAGAGCCTATGGGAGAGATGGGCATGAGGCATTTACAGTGCAGAGTTAGTGTGGTGCAGTGATGATGTGTGCACAAATAAGGTGATGGATAAGGAACTGGAGGGAAGTGTACAGCATCTGGTGTTTGTCTAGGATATCACAGAATAAAGGACATCACTTCAGACTGATTCTAAAGGTCTGACTATAGAGATTGGAGAAGAGTGATTCCCTAGGAGAAGGATGGGATTCCACATGGGAAAAATCGCACATAGAGAAGCTTATATGTGTATGATAGAGCATGGCATTTGCAGAAAACTGCTCTTAAGTTTACAGTAGCTGGATTACTCAGTCATTTGGAGGAATGAGTAGATGTGATCTCTAACCATAGGTGGCAAAACTATCATATGTGCAGTGTAAGATAAAGGATGCCAAATTGCTGTCTATAGTGAGACTATTAATCAGACCGTCTAAAATGACATGAATTAGCTGGAGGTAGTCTTTTCTGTCCATGAGAATGATGAAGCCAAGACTTAGTTGAGTAACTTTAAAAAAACAAACTGTGTTTTGTGAATTTCAACAGGTATAGAAAAGTTCTCTGGTCAAATAAGTATGATAATAAAGTACAGTTAATTATTTTTGAAAATGTATAAATATACTGATTTTGCAGAAGGTTAGGTAGTAGATAATCTGTAGACATTTCTGGAAACATGATCACAAATCCCTTCTGCAGAGTTTCTTTTAAGGAATTTATGATTTGCTAAATTATCTGTATCATCCACAATGGTGATTCTGAGGAGAAATTCATAAAATTTTTGGCATTGGTAATCTGATTTACTTAACACAGAGCCTTCTAACAAGTGGACTGAGACACAGTCATTTTTTGTGAATAATTTTGTTGATGCCTTTCAAGCTCTCTGGTGATGGTGCTGGGTATTCTGGATTCCTTAGAGCCAGTTATAAGGATGACTGGTACAAAAAGAAACCTCTTCTATGACAAGCCTTATCCTAGTGTACTTTATTACTCTTTCTCTATGCCATACTGTTAAAGAGTTTGAATATACTAACCCCAAGGCCTTTTTAACTTACATGTGCAAAAGTCTGTCTTTCTGTTCTATAACTTTTTGAGTACTGGTGCCCTTTCCTCCCTGGTCCCCAGCTTCCATCCTTATCATGGTTAATTATAGGATTATTATTTATCCATAACTCAGTGGTGTTGGGAAGACTGGTGGTTGAGGACTACTGATCTTTGCTCTCTCATAGTAACATCATAATACTGCTCTGTCTTTTACCCTGACCTAACTTCCACTCCTCTTATTTCCCCAGAGCTCCCTATCTCACCAACTTCCACTGTACCAAATGTAATTCTGTCACTTCTTAATATAGTCACACCTTGACCTCTTTGCCTACATTCTCCTAATTGTAACTGAAATCTACCTTTTTCCTAAATTTCCTTCTTCCTCAATAGTGTTTTTACATGAAGGATTCTTTTTTCTTTTTTTTTTTTTTCATTCATTAAGTTTATTGGTACATTTTAGGTACACAATATGTTGGCATTCATCATTGAGAATTTGTAACTTTACATAATACATCTTGGTTCTTGTTTTTTTCCATTCCCCTGCGCTCCCTTTGTCCCCTCCATCCCTCCCTATTTACAAAGATTTTGTTTCCATTTTTTCCTTTTCTCATATTTACATGAAGGATTTTCCAGTCACTGTAGTCTTTTACTGTTTAGAGGTATAGTCTTTGTCCTCATTCTTCATTTCACTTCTAGTTGAAGTATTAAGTCTCTTTTCTTTGAGACTTAAGGCATTTGGCTGTGTGAATTTCTTACTGGTTCCTACTCATAGTTTGCAAAAATTGGTCTCCTGGTGTACTTTCCTCCATTATAAGCCTTGCTAAAGTCTTGAGTATCTTCAGTGTTATGTAAATGATTCATTTAGCTTTTTGTCTTAATTTCTTAAGATTCTCTAGATACAAGATATGTTATCTGAGAATAGATTTTTTTGTAGATTTTCTTTAGCAGTTTCAAGATGTTTCCTTTTCTCCGTATGTTTTTGAGTGTTTGTATCATGATCATGAAGGAGTGTTAGATTTTGTCAGATGCTTTTTCTTTGTCTGTTGCCATAATCTTCTTCCCTGGATTCATAATGTGGCGGTGTTACTGGATAGAGGGTCCTGTGGGGTTCTTTTCAGGTTCTTGGTGTCCTGAACAAAGAATTAGATAAGACACACAGAAATGGTAGTGAGGATACACACACACACACACACACACACACACACACACACACACACTCTGAAGGTGGAAAAGGGTGAGAGCTGGAGAATGAATCACAGTGGCCTGAGGATGAGGGAAAGGGGTCTTTTGTATCCAAAATTCCTGTATTGGCTTCTCTCTCATGCAAATAAGGCTTTGGGTGGCACCAGATTTAAACTGCCTTGTTCAAAGACTCCCTTGGCTTCCTGCTAGATGTAAATGAAGAATTGGAAATAGCCCCTTTCTTATTGGTCCTACAAACAGCACCAGATTGAAGCGGCGAATTGAAAACTTCATTTTCTGATTGCTTCATGTACAGTGCTCAGAAGTTGAGAAGTCATTTTGAGTCCTGTGGTCAGCATTATGTCCTGTTTGTTTTTATGACCTTTGACATGTTCCACCCACTTGTTTGTCTGGTTTGCCCCAGCCCTCATCTCCTAACACAGGATGTCACATTGATTATGAAATGTTAAACCACCATTTTATTTCTTGGATAAATCTCAACTGCTTATGGTATAAAATCCGTTTACATGTTGCCTAATTCAACTTGTTACTATTTTGTTGAGAGTATTTGTGTATATATTCCTAACACAGTATTGGTCTGTAGTTTTCCAGAGATATCTTTGTCTAGTGTTGCTTTTGCTTCTGTTTTTGGGAAGAATTTGTGAAGGATTTTTATTAATTTTTGTTTGGGCCTTTTTTTTCCTTCCAAACTTAGAATTGATGTGGGCCACATAGTATGAGACTAAGAGATGTGCAGTTTAAGATGCCAGGCAAAGTCAAAAGCTAAGGAGCGGGTTGTCAGTTTTCCAGCTCAGGGCTTCTCAGAGTATCTTATTTTATTCTAGTTTTTTGAGGGAAAAGGGTTTGTTTAACAATAGGTAAAATACCTAAAAGGGGCAGGGTTGGGGAGTTCAAAGCGCTATTTTAACAGCAGCTGGAGTTGATTGTGTCTCCCAGTGGAATCTCATTCAGCCTTTGTGATAATGATGGTTGATTTGTAATGATCACAGCAATAATTTCATTAGCTTTGTTTCTTTCTGAACTTGTGTTTCTTTTCCCTCCACCTTCTCCTGCCATTTCAGAGGCTCTCCTTACAGAGAAGCACCTTTGGGTCATTTTGAAAGCTATGGAGGGACCCCCTTTTTCCAGGCACAGAAGGTGTTTGTAGATGTCCCTGAAAGCACAGTGATGCTGGACGAGTTGACCCTCCGGCACATGGTCCAGGACTGCACCGCTGTGAAAACCCAGCTACTCAAACTGAAGCGGCTGCTGCACCCGGTGAGTTTGCAGCAGGCATTCCACATGGGATATTTTGAATTGAAAAATGGATTGACTTTCCTTATTTTGAAAATAAAGTTTAGATTTCTGTAGAAACACTGCCTGTAAATAGTACATGATTAAAAACTTTGGTCAGAAAAAAATGGAAGTTTTGCATAATGGTTTCAATATCCAGTCTCAGCATTTATGAGCTGTGCGATATTTGATAAGCCAGTCACTTTGTTTCTGATTCCTCATTTTCATATTAGTACTTTGTAAGTTGTTGAGAATTAGAAACTGTCGTTTTAAATTGAGCAGTGAAATACTGAACACATAGTGGGCATTCACTAATCAGCTGCTACTCTTGTAATTTCAGCTACATGGAGAATAAGAAACAGCTGTTTTTATATACAGCAAATAGTCATGCAATTTAACTTTGAGACTTTCAAGTTTAATCTTTCCCAGAGCTCTCATTTCTTTGAAAAAAATCTAACTCATAGCAGTGACGTGTGACTTGTCCAAAGTCGTGAGATGAGCTAGTGGTAGAGCTCAACTTCTGATTCAAGAATACCTTCTTTATTTAATCATTTATAGGCTAGGTCCGACAAAGAAGAAAATACTAATTTAGAGTTGTGTGCACCTCTTGTGTGGCTTTAAATCTGTGTTTTGGCTTTATATACTGGCCAAATTTAACTTATAAGAACAGCCTGACTTGACCCTGCTGTACAGTTTGCTTTCTGGGTCACTTTCCTCAGGATTCTATGTTTTAGCTTCATATGAGCCTAGACCAAGTCTTAGACTTCCTGGTGGCCATCAAAACCAGATCCCAGAAGGCTCGTTGAAATGAAATGTGGCTCCTGTGTTAGTAATTATGGTGAGTGTACCTATTCTAGTTTGTTGTATAAATTGTTTCATTGTTACTCAGGATTTTTCTGGACCACCGCTCTCCATTTTTGTGGATATTTGACACCTTTTGGGAAAAAAAAACCCCAACTTTTCTGTGCAAAATCTAGGAGCAAGAGAGTGGAGGATTCTTTTTAGATCTGGAATGCTTGGATTCCTCCCAAGGCAGAAAGAGTTACCATATTTGAATCATCTAAACATAGAACTTACAACTTAAGTACAACTAACTTACAACTTTAAATATAACTAGGTTGTAGGCTTTGTTTTTTAGTGGTCCTCTGCTGGCTGCTCTGGGGAGATTTTCTTAACAGGAGCTTCGGCCTCAAAGGAAAGAGATGGTAGCAAAAGGTGGAAAATAGCTAAAATGTATTAACTAGCTACTGTGAGCCAGTGAATGTGCTTGCTATTCCACCGTTCCCTGGGTATATTGCCCTGAGTAATGAAGCTTGATTAAATATCAGGTGGTAAGACCAGGCTACCTATAATAGTGACAAGAGGAACATAATGCAAAAGGCAATGGGTAAATTGATATCCAATGACCAGTACAATAAAAATTAAAGCGTGGTTTTTGAGATATCTTATATAAGCCATAAATCTCTTGGTGTTTCTTTCCTGTCATTGTGACCTTTGGCATTTTATGTAGTACATAATGATCAAATTGACTACTTTTTATTTATACAGTAAAAATAAAAGTGTGAGAAGAAAATTACAGAATCTTTGTAGGATGTCTTTAAAGTTTTCCAGATGCCAGTAGAAGTTAAGAATTGAATGAGCCCAGGATTTTATAGAACTGCTTCTTTTAAACTCTTTTCCTTTTTAATTTTAGTAAATTAAAAAAAAACCCTCAATATGAGACATTGATGGCTTTTTAAAAGTTTTTGTGACCTAAAGGCTTAATGAAAAAAGTGTTTCTGTCTTCCTCCCACTTCAGGCAATCTATTATAATTTGAACAGGTTACTGTATAAAGCTTCTCTAGAGCTGTCATGAGGGACCTCCTGTTACCATAATCTGGGATTGGATCTACCATCTATTTCCTAAATAGCTCGTACTCCTTTTTTCCAATTTAGTCTCTTATTTTGCTAGTATACAGCCTTAAACTTAGCTCTTGAGAGAGGATGAGTGGGTGACAAATTTTTTTTTTTTGGTACCAGAGATCGAACTCGGGACCTTGCACTTGCAAGGCAGGTGGCAGAACCACTGAGCTAAATCCCTGGCCCCGACAAATTCTTTTATTTATTGCATTACCTAAAAAACCCCTCTTCATTTTATTTTTGCATTTGATGGATATTAATGGTTTGACTTGTATGGAATAGTTTGGCTGGGAATAAAGTGAATTTTCCATCACAAATTTGAAGGCATTGCTTTTCTGGGCTCCTCTTTTAGCCATTGGGAAGTCTACTCCATTCTGACCCATTTGACATTGTATTTTGCCTGTTTTAATCTATCTGGGAGGTTTTTAATTTTTTATTTCTAGCATTCTCCAAGTTTCTGAGTGATGTCTTACTGTTTGAATTTTGTTGGGATTGTTTTCCACTTAATGTTCAACATTTGGTGAGCTGTTTGGAGATTCATGTCATGAAATTTTCTTATTTCTATGATAATTTTCTTTCCCCCATTTTCTGTGCTATCTTTATGGAATTTTGAATAATCAGAAACTAGAACTTCTGATTGAATCTCAATTTGTTTTTTTTTTCTTATTTCCTTTTATTTGGGTTTATGTTTCTGATATCTTTTCTCAGTTGTATATTCCTGCTCTATTTTTATTTAACCATTTATCTTGGTAATTATAAGTTCACTTTCCAGGAACTATTATGTACCATTTGTATCATCCAATTGTTATTTTTTGCAGAAACTGTATTAAGTAGAGAGTTTGTTTTTCTGTTTTGTTTTATTAATAATTCTTAGGTTTTCAGCATTGTCTTTTTCTAGAGGGGCTTTTTTTCCTTTTGTCTTTTTTTGAACCTTCCTTAAAATATATAATGATTTCTTGTTTATTTGTTTGTTTTTGAGACAGGGTCTCACTATGCAGTTCAGGCTATCCTTGAACTAAGTATTTAGCCCAGGCTAGCCTTGAACTTGCAGTGATCCTCCTGCCTCAGCCTTCCAAGTGCTGGGATTACAAGCATCCACCACCACGCCCAACTCTTGTTTTTTAATATTTAAGAATGAGGAAGTAAAAGTTGAACAGTACTCTGTATATGGCTTAACAACTGGCCAGCTTCCTTTTGTAGTGATGGATAAATGTAGTGGGTCCACAGCACTTACTTCCTTTGCAGTGGTTACAGTTTCTCCACAGAAGAAACTTTTTTTTTTGGTACTGGGTATCGAACTTGGGACCTTGTGCTTGCGAGGCAGGCAGTGAAACCACTGAGCTAAATCCCCGGCCCTAGAAGAAGCTTTTAATTACAGTGGACCCTTGACTTACGAACTCAGTTCATTCCCAAGGGCTGGTTGTAACTTAGTTTAGTCAGTTGTCTTCAAAGTCTCTCTCCTGTATAGTTTCAGGCCACACTTACTTCCAGGCAGATCTCAGTATCCTTAGAGACATTGGCCTAGAATTTCTCAGTTAACCCCACACAGGAAAGGATGTTGTAATGTTCCTTCCAGAACTCAGAGTTACATCTGTAGATGAGACCATCTGGAAGCACAAGTGGCCATCATTTGAGTAGTAACTCAAGACTTTGTTCATAAGTTAAAACTAAAATTGTAGTCATAACCCAAGTTACGAGTTGTAACTCAATGGTCCACTGTATTTGCTTAGAATACAGGTAGAATATTTTCATTACTTAAGCAGATTTTCATTTAATTCCCATAAAAGATTGTACAATTAACCTTTTTCTATGTCTGGCAAAATAGGGGAAAGAAAACTAAGAGAGGAAGGAACCAGACTAATTTGTAATGTAGGACGTTGTATAGGAAATGTAATGAGATCTCTCGCTTGTTAGTGTTCTGTAAAAGATGTGGATCAGGGCATGATGGTGGATGGCTGTAACATCAGCTACTAGAAAGGCTGAGTTAGGATTGCAGATTTGAGACCACATTGGGCAACTTAGGGAGACTATCTCTACATAAAAAGGGTCAGGGATGTAGCTCTGCGGTCCCTGGGTTCAATCCCTGGTCCTACCTGAAAAAGAAAGATGGGAGAAGTGACAGTTCTGCATTAAAAGAAATGTAAAGGACAACAAGATACAGCCTGAAATTCTGAATTTGATAATTGGTTTGGATAGATCAGCTATGAAGGGCATTTTAGGTCATTTGGGGAAATTTTAAAATGGCCCATAAATGAGATCAAATTTTACTAAAATGTAGCATTACATATTATTAACTGAAGAAAGCAGGTTGTAAAGCATCATGTATATTGTGGCTTTATATCTGCATCTATATCTACTTCTCTTTGGAAGAATACACTTTAAGTATTAAAAGTGATACTTGGATAGTAAGAAAGTGTTTTTTGTTTTAATTTACATTTTCTAAATTCTAAGTTTTTACAATACATGTTTATCATTTCTGAACAAATAAAAGGTTATTGAAGTACATGTCTCATTCAAAAATTAATAATTGGATATAGTTAAAATTCAGGGTGCTACAGAAGAGACAGGAGTGATAGATGGCTTAGGGTACATTGGAAAGGGGCCTGAGGGCCACAAAAGCAGCTTGGACATTACTCTGTTGGTAGCAGAAAGCAAGGTGAGTGATGGGGCAGAATTGGTACTGTAAAAGTATTACTCAGAGGGAGTCCAGTGGAAAACGAGTAGCAGAGAGGTGACACGTTAAAATATTTAGGAGGCTGATGCAGATTTCCAAATTTTAGTCTAAACTTTAAAGTTAATTGCTTTGAAAATAGTTGAATTTTAATGGCCTTTTTCATGCATCTACCATACAAAGTTATGTATGTAAAACTTTCATATAAAGTCATGAATTGCAAACTGAGCATTCTTCTAATTTTCTAACATATATTATCTCTACTCCTTGAAGAATAAGTGATATCTCATAGTTAAGGTAAAGTTCAGAAGGCTAATTAGTGATACAACTAGGATTTTTTTTTACCCCAATCTCATCGAATCACGTTTTATAGCACACAGTGGTGTTTTAGGAGAGACCTTGAGGGATAAAAGAG